GCCATAGGGACCAAACTTTTTAAATTTGTTTTCAGAAAGTCATAAATCATTTATTCATATAGGTAACACAATGTACACTTATGAACGTCAAAAAAGAAATATACATTAAATGCTTCTAATTTTACATTTAGTGCCAGTTCTCAAATCAAGGGCGTAGAACGGAAGAGAAGAACGGGCAATAAACTCACCGCCACTCTTTTTAATCGCCAAGTTTTTTGTTTTACACAACGTTTGTAAGCAGCTGCAACCATTACACCATGTTCCACAAGACATCTTAAGTCATAAATAATAATAAAAAATTAATCACCGTCTTCTGGATATTACAGCACACTCAGCTTTGTTCATTTTAAAATGCGGCCTTTTTATGCCGAAATTAGACTCACGTACTTCCTGTAGCCCTCTATGGAATCATTCAGCTTTTAAGTGATTTGGATAATCTTTTAAAAACTTCTTTGGAATCTATTTTAAATGTTCGTTTTGATACACCTTCTTGGAATCAAGCATCTTCCTGTTGCTTTGGCGGATTAGGAGTACGCAAGATAACAAGTGTAGCTCTTCAGCGTTTCTCTATCTGCTCACAAATCTAGCAGTCTGGTAGGTAAAATCCTTTTTATTCCACAATCTAATAGATTGCGGATTTAACAGATGCAAGAAACGCGTGGATAGCATCCAACCCGTTGAGCTTGCCTTCTAGCGTCAACTTTCAAAGAAGCTGGGATGATCCTCTTTGCAAATGTGAATTCAAATTATTAGGTACATTCCAATAACAGACCTGCAAGGTTGATTGCTGTGGGGTCTAGCAAGCTGGACATTGGCTTAATGCTTATCCTTCGCCAAACACTGCCTTAAGACCCTGAATCACTTCGAATTGCCATCAGCCTACGCTTAGGAGTGCCCAAAGTACTCCCCCATAAGTGTCCCTGTGGTTTTGAAGTAAGTAGCCTTGTACACCATGGCCTACACTAGGAAAAGAGTGCAGGTCGTTTTTCTCCCATGCGCCTAAACGACTTATACGCCGCTCTCTTGCCTCTGTCAATGTTCCAGCAATTTTGGAGCCAACAGGCATCGCAAGAGACGATGGCAAGCGGCCATGGAATGTCTTTTTTCCTTGGAAAATGGGACGGGCTTTAGTATGGGATGCTACCTGTGTAGACACCTTTGCCCCGTCTACATCTCCTTGGACAAGCAAAAAAGCTGGCGCGGCTGCAGAACAGGCAGAAATTAACAAACGGTACAAATAAAAAAGTCTTTCCTCCAACTTCAATTTGTTCTTTGGAGTAAGACTCTGCGTGGGTACAAGTGCACAGGCGCTTATCTAAAGATTTAAGTTGGCGCCTGGTAGATAGTACCGGTGACCACAGAGCTGGCTCTGGCTCAAAGAATAAGTCTCGCAATACAGCGAGGAAATGCTGCCAGCGTTAAAGGTACACTGCCACAGGGCAAACTTTTTAAATTTGTTTGATTTTCTTCTTCTTCTTAATTTTTTTATTATTACTTTATAGGTTAAGAACATTGTAAATACTGTATTTGTGCCCTAAATAATCCCAAATAAATTAAATAATAAAAAATTAAAAACAAAGATTGGTCCTCTATCAGCAGGAGGCATGGTGAAATAGGAGCACGCGCTAACATTCTCGTGGGAACAACACGCAAATACATAGTCGAAATAACTAACATCAATTAAGTTATCATTTTTTTTGTTATATTGTAAAAACTGTATGTATATTTGTGTGTTGGACATACATATTTTACTAGTAAGTGCCTTATACAACACACGTCACGTATATACGGAACAGAAGCTTCCTGAATAGCTATTAATTTTTTGTTCCCGATTTAATAGTTCCTTGTTCGAACACTGGTCAAACCCGTATGATTACAAGTTTATGATGTTAATTATTTTGCGTGGGTGGTTCCTCTGTTACAACGGAAATGGAACCTATAACAATTAAGAGAACCAAATAATTGCGTAATAAAAGTAAAGATCTTTTTATTTACACTTCGTAGCAATACAGTATAATTAATTAGGGAAACGGACTTCTTGCTTTTGAGGCATCTCTTCAAGGTACTGTAAGGAAAAAAAAAAGAGTAAATTTTTTTCATTCACTGACTGGCCCCACTCACTTACACATTTGCACCTACACACGCACTCATGTCAGGCGTGTTGATAACGTTGAAAAGTAAATTAAATAAAATATGTAATTAGATTATAGATAAATACTAGTGGACCCCACAGACGTTGTCCTGCATGACCTTTAAAGCGATTAGGATTTAAGCAAAGTATGAAAGTACCGACTGCAGTGCCATCTGCCGGGCTGATTTAAATCTAAACCATTCCCAGATCCCCTTGAACACACACAAAAAATTTCATCAAAATCGGTCCAGTCGTTTGAGAGAAGTTCAGTCGACATACACACGTACAGAAGAATATATATATTAAGATTTTTAAGGAATTGAATTTGTAAATTTTAGATTATAATCGCCAGTATTTATTAGATCTTGCATTGTAATCATATGAACTTAAAATGAATAAAGACCTTTTTATTTTTTTATTTTTTAAGACTAGTAAGGTAACGTAACATCGTTCCACACGATTTTAAGGCAGTTTTGCCGTGCACCACCACTATGTGGAACCAGCTGCCCACTGAAGTATTTCCGAACCAATTTAACTTTGGGTCCTTCAAGAAAGAGCGAAAAAGCGATTTAATATAATCCATTAAAGACCGGCAACGCACTTTCGATTCCGGCAATGTGAGTGTCCATAGGCATAATACAGTAGAACCTCGATAAGTCAAAAACCTCCAAATCTCGAAAAAAATGTTTTGTTCCCTCCCTTAAAACGCCAAAACCTCCATTACTTGAAATCAGGCCCCTCTGTTAATCGAAATAATCACCGAGTCCCTCAAGCCATTTTGGTACATATTTTCACTCTATAACTCGAAAAATTAAATTTGACCTCTGTATCTCGTATAGGAACGTTTTATTTTACAACCTTTACAACTTCATCATTGGAATTTATTATCTCTATTGTTCGAACAATAAGTTACCGACTTTAAGAACTTGCCGCCAATGTGAGTACACTATTGTTTCTTAGAAAACATTTTAGGAGTATACAATAATAAATTTATGACTCATGGAAACACGTGTTAGCTTGCTTTGTGTCAGGTGTTCAATTTATAAGAATAAACCTCAAACTCTTTATTTCGAATCAAAATCCGCCTAAGTCGAAATCCTCCATAAGTTTGAAAACTCTATAACTCGAATTTTTTGGCGTCTCCTTGATGTTCGACTTATGAGGTTCTACTTATCACTTAACAGGTGAGCCTCCTGCGTGTTTGCCCCCATAAAAAAACACTAAGACAGAACTGAACAAAACAATTTTTATATTGTTTAAACAATATTTAAGTAAACTATATTTTATAGTATATTTTTTACTATTTAAGACACCACTTATATAAAAATCATTTAGGAACCGACGTATCATAATAGAATTAATAATATTAAGATTAATAGATCATGTAAACAAGAAAAATACAAAAACAAGTTTGCGGTCTCGTTAAAAGGGTAACGATGCGTCGCGACGCGTGCGCATCTAGACGCAGTTATGTAACGGCTTATATTAACAGCTATCGATAGATATACGAACTACGATATTGCAAAGTGGATCTTATCAGAAAGAGTCAGAACGCAAATTATTAATTGTCTTTGGAGACGTATTTCAGTGGTCAAAGGAATTTGATCTTTATATGAAAGGAATTAAGTGATTCTCTGTAAAAACACTGCACTAGACATGCACTTTTATTTTTTATTTAAAGTTTAATACATTTTTATTAAGTTGTAATCTACATTGTTACAGTCCTCTCTTAGTTTTTTTTCTACTACGTTGCAACCCTGGAATGCCTGATTACTTATTTCTTTTTTTTCTATTAATGTACTTATGTTTTCTGTTTCATATATATATTGTTTATCTATGTAATCTGTTTTGGCTTTCTGTATTGCCTAAGTGTTTTGTTTCATTATATGTATCTTAGGTGTAAGATTACTAATAAATGAATAAATAGCAGGTAGGCTAAAAAGTTTGTAGCCTAACATAGTTTTTCATTTGATTATTCTATGTAGTATTTCTTTCGCCAAACAAAAGTTCCTTCACTCAAATTAATAGTACGACAAACATAGTTGTCAAATTTATACACGTCTTTTGAAGATTAGGGCTAACTAATAATCATATTAATTTGATAGTAGCGCCATCTATGAGCCAGCATACGAACTTTTTAGCCCACAGATTATTTACTATCAATAGTGTCAAACAACGTTTGAGGTACAAATTTTAGCATTTTTTCTACAAACAGCTGTGGATGGGCTCCAACACGAGACCTAGTATGGCTTCCACATTTTGACTCTATATTTTTGTGATAGAAACATCAAAGAAACAAATGCTACATTCTGAGTTTTTTTAAGTCCAGAAAAGAGTTGCATCCCAGAAAGATTACAGGACAATTTGCTATTAATGAATGATAGAAGAACATTTTAACAAGAACATAATAATAAAAACAAGAAAATATAAAACGCGTATTACCACGCGTAAATGGCGCTTCTCTGAGTAAATTCGTTCGCGCTCGAGGCACTGCAAGCAATTGCGACCGCTTACCACGCCGAGTGTGATTATTTAGCACACGCAGCCCCAGTCTCTCCATTCCCGCATTATACCCTACCCTCTAAAGACCTTAAAAAATATATTGTGATAGCAAGGTCCCTTATCTGTAACCTCTACCATACCCAAGACACAGTTGGATACATAACCGGGGTAAATTCGTGCACACCAAAAAATCTCATATTGTAAATTTATACAGAATTCGCTACTCTCTCCAAATGTATTTTTTATTCCCAAATTTGTTCAATAAAAATTACTAAACAACTTTCCATATAACGAATACAGAAAAATCCATAGAAATGGTTCACGCAAGGACCTTCACAAACACTTAGGTATTGTTTTGTTTTTCCAGGTATAACATACCTCACGGGCGAGAACTTCCTAGATGTTCTGGACAACGGTGCTGAGTTGTGTCAGCTGGCTGCAGTCATACATGACCGAGCGCGGGAGGCGCTCGACCAGGGAATTATAGTTGGGGTGAGTCAAGTAATAATGCACTATAAATCTGGAACAAAAGGAATTAATGTGATTCTCATCTTGGCAATGAGTTAGCATTAGCTCCCAAGTACCAGCTCCTTCCACTTGACCGTATTCAACGAAGGAGTGGCTTAAATCGTCGATGACCAATCTCTTTGGGAGCGCCTTGATCCCTTGGCGTAGCGTAGTGATTTGGGGTCTCTCTGCATCTCCTACCGCAATCACCACGGAGAGTGTTCAGATGAGTAGTTCGGATTACTTGCAGCTGAGTTTCATCATCGGACGTCGAGGTGATACGGAATTTCGTATTCTACTGCCTTTTCATAACTGAGCGTTTTTTAAGGCAATTTCTGCCCCGCACCACCACTATGTTGGGTTGGGTACCTGGTGGATTTCCGAACCAATTAAACAGAGGCACGGTGCAGACAGAAATGGTGGGATTTGTAGTAGGTCTTTGCCAAAGATGGTAGATACCTGATGATATAAATATAAATGTATTTAAATGTAAAGTATCTGAAATAGAATAATAATAGTCTTTTATTATTACTATAAAATATCTATTTCAATAGATTTATTTTTACAAGCAAAGATTGTAAAAGAGTCTCCAAACTCAAAAGATTTTAGTTTTTATTAATTTAGTTTTACCCTATATTAACCACAATAAAATATAATCGATATAATTGAATGCAATGTAATAGTTGAAGAGAGTGCCTTCGTCTATACTCTCGGGGCGTGACTCCGACGATTTAGGAAATCCTCACGCTTATAAAAGTAAGAAAGCCAGAGTCAGCAATATGTACAGCCTTGCCTCGTACGCTGAGTACATCAAAGGAAAGACGCAATGAAGTGTTCGATCTTAATTAGTCGGAAGCAATATGATGTTGTCGCGTATTAGTCTTCAGATGCGGTCCTTCCTGCTAACTAACTAACTACTGTAGAATAGGACTTGCTTAAAATCTTGCCCTGATGCCAGGAGCAGTATTGGCCTAGTGGCTATAGCGTGCTAATCTCATCCCTGAGGTCGTACATTCGAACCCCGGCTATGCATCAATAGACTTTCTTTCTATGAGCGCTATTAACATTCGCTCGAACGGTGAAGGAAAACATCATGAGGAAACCGGCTTGCTTTAGACCAAAAAGTCGACGGCGTGTGTCAGGCACTGGAGGCTGATTACTTGCCTATTAGATTGACAAATCTTATGCCCAGACCTAAAAAGGTTGTAGCGCGACTGTTTTATTTCATGTCCTGATGATGATTTTTATTCTGATACCAATTATACCTTTTCAGCCGGTGCCAGCGATCAGAGGAAGATGTTGGCAACGTGCAGCAAGGCGCAGCTTCTTCTCGCGGGACAACGCCGAGAACTTCATCACCTTCTGTCGTGAATTGGGCGTTCATGAAAACTTGCTGTTTGAAAGCGATGACCTTGGTAAGATTTTTTTGGACCTCGTCATAATGACGGATGATGTAATGCAGATCCTTACAAACAACTCTTGTAACATTGCCAGTTCTTCTATGCTAGGTTCTTGATTTTAGAACAGGCAGTAAATGGAAATTTATGCCCACCTGAATAAATATATTTGGTTGGAGGCGCGTATCTGAGAAATGACTGGTTTGAATTATATTTTTTGTTGCTTAGTCCATTGAGAAATACATATATATTTTAAACCAATTTCAAATATCTACAAAAATAATATAATATTTGTACAGCTTGCCAAAGTACAGTCAAAATCTGTTATAACGACATCGAAGGGACCACTCATATTTGGTCGTAAAAACCGATAGTCGTAACAGCCGATGACGTTGTTAAGAACCTAATAGAATAGAATTCAGCCGGGACCTTTGATTTTGGTCAATATAACCGGTATGTTGTTCTAAACGATGTCGTCATAAACGGTTATGACTGTATGTATGTATGTTGCAGCCAACTTAACTAGCCGTTCAATTAACAGCCTAGCATTATAACTAAACGGCGTTGTTTAACTAGCGGCCTGAAAGATAGCCCTACGGGTAGGATCAGAGGTTCAAGTGTGGTATTATTTTAAAGCTATCGGGCAGGCTCACCACGATAATTAGGGGTTTTAAGGACTCTTCACTTAGAGACGAAGCGAAGGAACACAGAGCAATATTCAAATCTGATTTATTCTTATAAAACATTTTAAATACTACTTACACCTATTCACACATATACATCAGCTGAGCCGTGTCAGCAGTTGGTTAATGTACAAGTAAATCTGAACAATATTTATTACCCTATATTATATAGGTATCCAGAAATGCTTGGACATTTCAAAACATTTTTAAAATTTCCTGTTGTTGAGAATATCCAGCTTGTAGCCCGCGTCTAAATCTTTATAATAAACAAATCAGTGGCGCTACAACCTTTTTAGGTCTGGGCTTTAGATTTCTGTATCTGGTTCATAATCTCAATCTAATAGGCAATATAAATATAATACTAGCAGACCGGCCAAGCGTTGCTGTGGATGAGGTTTTAGTTATATTACATAGTAGTAACCTATTCAAGGGAAACGGTAGGAGAACACCAGTCATGGAGACCACCATGCTTGGTACTTTTAACACAGCGCCATCTATTAGAATTGTGACTATCAAATAATAAATAAATATTTTGTAATAAATTAATATTGCGGGTATAAATTCAGATGTAAGCTATCCTATCTTTTAAGTTAGATCAAACTGCACACGGTGTACAAATTTGATTGAAATCGGTTCGGTAGTTTAGGAGTCCATAGCGTACAAACGTGACACGTAATTTAAATATATTAAGATATATATAATAGGTGATCAGCCTCCAAAGCCTCACACACGCCGCGCCGTCGACTTCTTGGGTATATTTTCATCGTTCGAGCGAATGTTAAATCCGCATATTGAAAGTCCATTGCACAGCCGGGGACTACGACCTCGGGAATAAGAGTCGCACGCTGAAGCCACTAGGCCAACAGTGCTCTGATTCTGTATAGGTATTTTTAAGCTATTGCATAGCTTCTATCGCGGGCCTCGAGCGTGGAGACCTAATCCAGAAATGTAACGAAAAAACCTTACGCGTTAGAGCGGGACAGAACGCATACTGCGTATCTCTCTGACGAGATCGGTGCAGCGGGTGCGCGTTAGAGTGAGACAGACTATATAGGCGAGTTAGTCTGAGTCTGGTAGAGTGGTAGATTGAATTAATTTATCAAAGAAAAAAAATACTGCATAAATAAATGCAATATGCAATATGCTTTACCGCGGCAGTCCCCGAGTGCCACACGTCTTTTTTTAATTTGTAAGAATTTCTTGAAGTAATTCATTTTCCTGTTTCAGTCCTTCACAACCAACCACGACAGGTGATCCTCTGTCTTCTAGAAGTGGCCAGACTGGCCACAAAGTTTAACGTAGAGCCTCCAGGCCTAGTCGCGCTGGAGAAAGAAATCGCGCTGGAAGAACGGGACTCGGGATTAGATTCAGCCATGTCTGGAGCAGCCTGGCAGTTCAGGGACTCATCACCACCTCTTGATAAGTAAGTTTAATAGAGAATTAGGGAAAGATAAAGCTCTGTTGGGATTAAGAGTCCGGACTTGATGACTCCTGTAAAAATGTATTGGATTATAATAAATAAGTCAATGGCCCAACCTTTTTATGTCTGGGCCTCAGATTTATGTATTTTCATAATCTCAATCTAATAGGCAATTAGGTGATCAGAGGCTGGGGTCTCGCAGGAAACGCCCATCGGCTAGACGTGAAACAAACCCTATTAATGTGGGCTTCAGGCCAACCGCGAGATTCCATTACACAAAAAATCTGTCACTGGGTCAGCCAGAGGTTAGACTGGTCGATTCTTCCTTAAGGTCGGAGAAAAAGCACACCCCCTTTTCTCCACTTGTTTTATAGTAGTCCTCGCAACAACGCACCTGAAGACGCTAGTTCATGCTAGTCATGGGTGACTATCGCCTCAAAAAGAGGAAAAAGACCATTCAGGCCGAGCAACCCTGTCCAGAAGACTCAGAAAACAGTCCAGAAGTGCTTGACAGGACTTGACAGTTATACCTTAGGGAAAAATTATGAGAGTAAATTTTTACGATGCGCGAGCACACCGTCACAAAAAACCGACACCCTGGAGTTAGCTATAGTCAACATTTTAGTTTTTTTGAAGTTATACTTTTGGCGCGTTAGGAAAAAATGATGAGAGTAAATTTTTATGAGGCGCGCGCACACCGTCACAAAAAACCGACACCCTGAAGTTAGCTATAGTCAACATTTTAGCTTTTTCTATTGTTAGTGTCATTTTTCTACAAACATAGAATAAAATTTTTGAAAAGATTTTTATCTTGTTACGCCAAAGAAGCATAACTTCTAACACGTGTACATAAGTACACGTTTTTTTTGTACCTACTTTCTTTATTATTATATGTGTTTTAGTATATGTCATTTGAAAACTATATTTTTATTAAAAAATTTATTTTTCTATTTCAGACCAACAAAAAAAGAGAAACAAACATTGGAACCTAATGAGAGTGAGTATTTTACTTAGAGGAGCCTATACCGTGTCATACCATGATCGGACTAGGAACGTATTAGCCATAGTTAAATTTATACGAGAAAGTTACTATTGACAGTTCATAACGCGTTTTGTAACCGTATTATCCGCGTTATATAGGCGTATCATGTACATATACGTAGAAGTATTTCCGAACCAATTCGACTTAGGGTCCTTCGAGAAAAGAGCGTACTAATTCTTCCAAGTCTGCAACCATAGCAAGCCCTCTGGCATTGAGAGTGCCCATGGGCGGTAGTACTTAACATCAGAGACTCCTTGTCGTTTGCCGTCTAATAAAAAAATAACCGTGCGTCTCTGTATAGTTTGATTGTTTCCTGCATAAAATAATTTCCTATATCTATACAATATATAAGATATATTATGTTATTTCAATCTAATGAACAGCTAAAAATGCAATTAAATTTGTGCGTAGAGCCCGGTCACTACGCGTAAGATCAAACGACGCATGCGCAAACGAATTGTTAATCATAATAAATCGTTTATTTGCAAAGTGGTACATTTTGTTCGATAAATTATAAAAATAGGCATGCAAATGTCATATAAATTTTCATAATGACATATTATAATAAGAACACTATGTTACCGCTATGTTGACTTTAGGTCGGCGACGGAACGGTCCCAATTTTATACGGTCATAGTACGACACGGTATAGGACTCCAAATTAATAACTTGAATTAAAACTAAGTGAAGATAAAGCCTTAAATTCCAGAATTAATAGGCCTACTGTCGATCCTCGCAAACAACAGATTCGGATATATATCAATAATCCATTTTGTCTACTTGTTTTTATGGAGTTTTATGGAATACCTTTTATTGCAAGTAAGGGGCGAACCTAAAGCTAGGAACAATTTATTAATTAATTACAACTGTCTACATAAACCAGAAACCTCTTCCGTGATAAGGATTACATTAAATACATGTTTTTTCTTATCATCATCAAACCCCTAAATTTTAATGTAAATTTTTTGGACAAAACTTTTTGTTTTTATTTTATGATACAGCATACAAAAATACATACAACCCTTAATTGTCAACCCTCTACGATCAACCCTTATTTTTTATTACAGTAGATAGTTATTTTTATTGAACTAAAAAAAATCCTAGAAATAATATACATGGCAAACGCCTAGGATTTTATATAATTTTAGACATTAACGGTATGGTCTTAGTATTGTGTATGTATTTTTGTAAATTAAATTATGATTGAACAACGAAAGACACAACAATCTTCCACTATTCCGATTGGTCAATACCATCTCTAGTCCAATCAAAGACACGCGACACGGCCGCCATTTCGTTTGGCCAATCACAATGAAACGCAACGCGCCATCGACTCGATAGCTACAATTCAAACGCATTAGTAATTTAAACGTATGCTATTCGTACAGTACTCCCAAAGTGATATTGCGCATAGAAATCTTCGTCACTGTTCGGCAATGATCGTATTCCCCGAGCGTCGGAAGACGATATGTATATAGAGTGGTTAAGTGCATTTTCTTCATGCATAATTTAGTAGAATTGTGTTTTGTGCTAAAATAGATAAATATTGATTTATCAGGTTTATATTAGAAGAAGAAAAAATGGTTTTCAAACACAGGTTTACATTAAAATCTTAGAAATCTAATCATTTAAATCTCATCTCATCATTAAAAGGGTGTGTAATAGCAGCTCTATATAATTCCACACAGAGAAAAACCTGCAGTCACCATCAATATATAAGAGCTGATTTACACAGGGTCAGTAACTGACTACAAATTCGAGACAAGTCAGTGCTGACCCGAAAAAAACCCTGTGTAAACTGATTTGAAGTCAGTACAGTGGCTTGAAGTCAGCGCTGACTTGAATATTCGGACACGAATATTTTAAAGTCAGTTGGCCCCGCCACCCGCGCACCCCCGCGCCAGCCAAATAAACCCCGTGTAAACCAGGGCTGCCAGAGAGATTTAAATCGTACTTGTACGATTTTTTGTCGATCGCATTTTTACTCATGTACGATCCCTAGACCAAGATCGTACATAAAATGTACGATTATTCTGTACCTGGCAACATTTCGTAATGAAACGAATATATACTCCACCGGCAAGTATTATGTTCGGGGATTTCCCCCCAACAACCTAACGTATGCTTAGACCTTTTACGTCTAAAGACCCTTTTTTTATGTGAAGTCTATATTTGTGTGCATTGTAACCCCAAAACTTATTATTTTCCCCTTATAATACCTGTATTGGAATAGTCAAAATCCTGTTTTCCTCATCAGTCTCTAGCTCTAAGTGATTATACTATCCTCTTTTGATCTGCATATTGTCTTTAGGGGTTTTTGTGCTATACGCTTAAGCAAGAATGGGTAGTGAAAATGAAGAAGACCGACCTCCCAGGTACTCCAAAAAGAAATTAGCCAAGAGGAGAGCTTTCTCCACAGGTCATTGAGGAACAAACACGAGACAGAAGAACGCCCCGATGGAAAAATTTGATTTATTTACGGACCGGTTAGGGACCGGTAAAAACCAATTTAAAGCCAGGTGGACTGTGTGTGACGTCGAAATAGTTTCAGAATATGGAGTTTTAAAGTAACACTCTTCAAGGCAAAGGCAGCTACTTATTTTAAATAAAAACTTTCACTTTTTTGTTTTACGATCTTTCGTTTCAAAATTTCCTTGGGGTGTACGATTTTTTAATTGTTGGTGTACGATCATGCGTTTTTTTCACCTGGCAGCCCTGGTGTAAACAGACAAGCAGTGCGTGGTTAGACACTGCCGCTGCTTGTAGAGTGACCACGTTTTTTTCGCTGGCGATAAAAATGAAGCTTAAGCGAAGACGAAACCTTAAAATTGTGCAATTTATGGCCAGTTTGTACTCCGCGGAATCTCCAAACCCAAATGCTCCCCGCGAAAAAAGAGACCCCCCAGGTTTTCTATCGTCAATCCATTTTCTTACCCATTGTCGTTTATTTTTAGTTATCTCATTTTCTACCATTTCTATTAACTCATTCAACAGCAAAATTGATAAATTTTTCAACAAATAATTAAATCGTCGTTTTAGTTGTTTTCGCGAATTCATTTTTCCCACTGACTTCACACACGTGTGGTCATCGTGAGAAACGCACCACTACTATTTACCTTATGTAAACAGTTAAAGTCAGTCGCGGCGACGACATTGGCGCTGCGACTGACTTGTCTACTGACCCTGTGTAAATCAGCCTTAAAGACGACTGACGGTCGACGGACCTTTGACTGAGCGGCGACCTCCGCCGACCGCCCGAATTGTTTTCGATTGTGTACACATGATATTGACTCCTATTTCTTTCGAACAAGGTGCAAAATGCAAGTGCATTGTTTAGGGCTTTTACGATTCAATGATTCGGGTGTTTCCGGGGGGAATACGACAATAAGGGAAAATCTGCATGCGCATTATTAATTTGGGAATACTGTACATGCGTGTCCCATACACCTAGTTCGCTACGCTATTAGATGTTAATTATTTCGACTATGTATTTGCGTGTTGTTCCCACGAGAATGTAAGTGCGTGCTCCTATTTCACCATGCCTCCTGCTGATAGAGGACAAATCTTTGTTTTTAATTTATGTTATTATTATTAATTACTTAAGATGTCATGTGGAACACGGTATAATGGTCACAACAAACGTTGTGTAAAAAAAACATGGCGATTAAAAAGAGTGGCGAGAGTTTATTGCCAGTTCTTCTCTTCCGTTCTACGCCCTTGATTTGAGAACTGGCACTAAATGTAAAATTAGAAGCATTAATATGTATTTCTTTACTGACAAGTCATATCGTACAATGTGTTACCTATATCATTAAATGATTTTTAATTTGAATTTATTTAACATCCAAAATTGTGTGTGTGTAGCATACATAATATACTAAACATTAAATTGTGTGATAATCTTGAAATATGTTTTAGATGAAGTATGCGTGGAGGACAGCGTGGAAGTGGCGAGTACGAGATCGGATAGTTCCTCTGACACGGATGTTCCACTCAGACCCACGAATGAGCTCGACAAAAGGGTAAGGTTATATTACAGTAAATTTCTAAACATAGTGTAATGAAAATGAATTTGAAATAGTCATTAAAATATATTTGTTTCCTTTTGTAAATTTTTGAACATTTTCCGTATTCCATCTCTGGGCGAGCGTTCAAGTATTACGTAACGAATTTTGGGGGGGTTCTTTTGTAAAACGTTACGATGCGGGGCGGGGATTGAATTACGCGTTATTGTTAATATTATTTTCGACTTTCCAGTACTTGACACCACATAATGGTAACTTTTAGGTATAAAGAGTCACTATATTACTGTTGGGTACAGAAAAACGTTACGGCACGTTACATGGGGGGGTCAATAATCTCCAAAAATTGCGTGAAAATATAGCGTCCCTGGCTATATTTTCAGTGAAACTGTTTGTTATTATATATAATTTATGTTAGTGTGTTATATTGTAGGATAACGAAATAAATAAAAAAAAGCACAAATGCCAGAGTTATGAAGTCATTATTTGAATTTAAAAATAAATCAGTGGGGCTACATTTTTAGGTCTGGGCCTCAGATTTCTGTATATGTTTCATGATCATTTGTCAAGTAGGTGATCAGCCTCCTGTGCCTAACACGCCGTCGACTTGTTGGGTCTAAGGCAAGCCGGTTTCCTCACGATGTTTTCCTTCGCCGTTCGAGCGAATGTTAAATGCACAAATAGACGGAAGGTCCATTGGGCATAGCCGGGGTTCTAACCTGACACCTCAAGGAAGAGGTCGCACGTTGAAGCCACTAGGCCAACACTGCCCTTCTTTGAAAATTCAATATTTTTAAGAAAGAATAAGATATATACCTACACTAAGATACATACTATATTTAATTGTTTTTAATTATAATTTCCAGTCTAATTTTTATCTCAAACCATTTCGTAAAATTTACATTTATATTTACTTCAAACAAATGGACGGCTCATTGGTCTAGTAGTTAGTACCCCTGACTGGGAATCCATGGGTCCCGGGTTCGATCCCCGGCTGAGACGAACATCGATGTGATGAGCATTTGGTGTTGTGCTTAGGTCTTGGGTGTTTAAATATGTATTTATATGTCTATCTATCTATAATATGTATGTATATCCGTTGCCTAGTACCCATAACACAAGCTTCACCAGCTTAGCATGGGACTAGGTCAATTGGTATGAATTGTCCAATCATAAAAATAAAAAAAACCCACTAAGATTGTCACTGAAACCCTGAGAGGTGTTGGGAGGTAGGTGTGGCCTAGGGTAGATGAAGGAGACGATCAGCAACAATCCTCATTAAGAAGCAGGCTGGAGTTTCCTCGTCGTTGTTAACATCCCCAGGTGCCGCACTGCACGATTTGAACTCCTTGCCAGTTGCCCCCTTCCCTAGACAGTTTAATATGGGTTTAATTAAGCCGCGGTTAAATAGGCATCTCCTGGATAGACGTAACCTTCCAGTTCTGTTCTATCTCAGTTCTTCCATATTAAATATTTGATATCTAATTCCAGGTGCAATCAATAACACGTCTATTGGAGCGTGGTTGTAGATGTGGTTCTGTCAAATGTTCACGGCTGTTGAAGGTAAAGAAAGTGGGCGAAGGGCGATACAACATCGCCGGCAGAAATGTCTTTATAAGGGTATGTTTTTATTTAAATGTATCAATCAATATACGTTTATTCAGTTTAGATGCGTCTTAGCTTATGAATGTCAAAAACGTTTACAAAATTCGTGAAAGAGCAAAACTACCAGGCCTTGTTCTGAGAAGAAACTCAGCAAGTTTTACCCTCCCTCTACATTAAAATTATTCAAAGGAAAATGTTAAACAAAATCTGTTCTGTACATATACTATTACCACACATTCATCTTACCGGATGATAGTCGAAAGAATGGAGTCCCCCTATTCACAGACACTTCAAAGATTCCGCAACTTTTTTATTTTCATAAACAAATTACTAATCGTAACTTTTAAATGGGATTTGTCTGTTATAAAAACTTCAATAATAAAACGAATTATCGTAATATGATGTCTTATGATTGAACAAGCATTCAAGTGATAAGATTTAACGTGGGAGAAAGTGAGATAGCATTATACATCGTATAAACATTAATTTAGTTTGTTTTTGATCATTTTCTGAATGTAAAAAAACATAGATTTTTTTTAATGTCTTTATCGTGCAATCAGTCAGCTAGACTATGAGCAGATGGTTAGTTGCATGGCAAGCTTATTAGGATGCATTTCTAGCCTTTTTCTGTATTTCATACTCCAGGTCTTGATCTCCTCTTTGAGAGTCCTGATTTTGAGGTGCTCAAAAAAAATAGATTAGCAAAATTTAAATAAGATATTAATTTGATTCAATTATTAAATTAGAACGAATTTATAAATATAAATATAAAAATTATAATTATAATTATAAAAACTTTTTTTTACACTATATAATTATTATTAAATCTTATGAATTTCTGTGTCTGTCTCTTTTTCGTTACATCGTCTTTCATATTTTAGTTTTTATCTAAATTAAAGATGGATCAAACTTAAAAATTACAATTGAAATAAAAAAATAATTTACAGAAAATTCTAATACTATAACAACATTAGATTATCTATGTCGAGATTATACGAGAAGTTTAATTTCAATCTGAACTAAATAGGATATCTGAAAATATACAGTCTGTGTAATTCATAAAAATATTGCTAGCTGGATTCTAGCCTATACCTAAAATCTAATGGGCAATATCTCTTTCCAGCTACTAAAAGGTCGCCACATGATGGTCCGCGTCGGCGGTGGCTGGGACACTCTGGAGCACTTTCTATCTCGTCACGAGCCCTGTCAGGTGCGCCTTGTCACTCCAGGACGCCGAGACCTTCTGCCACTCGCACCCACACCCGCTTCCAACACCGCAAAGGAGAGAACTACACCGTCCCCCACCAACCGTATCTCACCCAATAGAACCACCCCATCCCCAAGTAGTACCGAAAAGATCTCGCGGAACAGCGTCTCCCCGTCCAGTAGCAAAACCTCCCTCAAAGAATCTTCCGTTTCCCCAGCTCATAGCAAAACTTCTATCGAAAGCTCATCTATCGAGCCTTTCAAACAAAAACCCAAGAACACCCCAAAGACATCCACACCCAACAAACCAGTTACGAGAAATCGTTCCGCTTTAACGTTACCCCTGAACGAGAAGCCGAGAAAGCAATCGGCCCCAGCCAGCTTCAGCACTCCAAACACACCAATAAACAGACCTGAACAGAGAAAGTCCGTGCCGACGCCCAAAAAATCTCGCAGCATGAGTCTCGCGCTCCAGAACGATAAGAAATTCTGCGGCACGGACAGATTAAACCAAGCCAGAAAATCCAGCGTACCTGACGCGCGGAAAACTCGAAGCCAGAGTTTAGCTTCGACTCCAATAAATGAGCCGAAGAAATTGCTGCCCACGTATGGAAAGAAGACAAGAAGCATGAGTCTGGCAACCACAAATGACTTTCCGAAGCCCTTGAAGAAGAGTCTGTCGGCCAGCAGCACTCCAGTAACGCAGGCAGCAATAGAAGAGAGTATCAGATTGTCGTTGGAAGCGACGATTGCTGACCCTACGTCGCCCAAAAAGCCATTCCTTCACATCAAAGCCAAATATAGAAGTCCACCACCAAGAGAAGTGCCGCCGAGATAATTCATTCCATAAGGAACTTGTGGAGCATATTTAAAAATGTGACAAGCATGCGTCACATTCGGGAATCATCACATAGGTTATTTTGGGAAGCCTTTATTGTATAAATACATATATACGCCATGATCGGCAAGATAATCCGTATTCCACGTAGTAAGTTCTGACAGATACTAGATAATGTCAAATTGGCGTAAGAAAACTAAAAGCCTTGTCTTGAGAGATGTCAAGTCCATAGAGAAACAAATGACAACAAAGTTTGACAAGTTTAGGAATACGGCCAGAGCAAGAAATTATAAGCGTCAAAGAACAACAATAAATTTTGGTACAATATTAAATGTACCTAAATAATAATACAAAGTAATAACAATTATTTAAAAAAAAATCTTGCTTAGATTTCGATGGCTTGGATACGCTGTGGCGCTAAAGCAAAAGCAGTCTATGGATTTTCAAAATACTTTATTGTGATTAAAACAAACTCTGCTCCCAAAGTTCCTTTCCCGTAATACCAATACGTAGATTTTATAAATACGCTATTTATTATAAAATCTGCTATTCAGTGGTATTTTAGCTTTAGATATTGTAAGTGTTTGCACGCATAGATTTTCATAGAATTTGTAAAACTCATGAATAATGTTCAAGATTTTGTTTAGTTCAATAATGGCCATATAATAATTGCCGTCACATATAAAAAATATAATGCTATTTTCGAATATTTAATGTCGTAACGATACTTGTCAAGATGCTTTTATGATTGTACATTGTCAAAGTAAGATTTTGAACATTTGAGCTTGACAGGGAACACCACAGACTATATGACAATACAGAATAAGAACTTAGTACGCTATACATTTTTAAGATAGATTATATAAAAGCAGTATCTGTTTCGCGATCATTTGTTTTTTCTTATAGGCAAGTAGGTCAGACTTCTTAGCCTGACCTCACGGACTTTTGGGTCTATAGCAGAGTGTCCTTACTATATTTTCCTTCATCGTACGAGCGAGTGTTAAAATGCGCATAGACATAAAGTCTAGACTAGACCAACACATTGCGTAAACATAGCATGCTTTGTAATGTTTAATTAATATTATTTAATCATATCAAAAGGTCAGGATATTACTGGGTGATTCATTATCTCTTGTAATTTTTTTTCTGAGGTCGTAGGTTCGATCCCCGGCTGTGCACCAATGGACTTTCATTCTATGTGCGCATTTGCTCGAACGGCGAAGGAAAACATCGTGAGGAAACCGCCTTGCCTTAACCCAAGTTGACGGCGTTTGTCAGGCACAGGGGGTAACCACGTACTTGCCTATAAGATTGACAAAAAATGATCATGAAACAGATACAGAAATCTGAGGCCCAGACCTAAAAAGGTTGTATTGCCCCTGATTTTTTAAGCCATTCATTGAAATCAAATGTTAATTTAATATTCCTTTATACGAATTTTTATTTAGCGTACCTCTTTAGTAACTACATACATATGGAACATTTTGAAGTCCCATACGGACAGTTCGCTTATCCGGAATAAAAGCCTAAATCAATCTAAAAAACTACAATCAATTTGTTTTATACTTTTCAATTTTTCTCTCCATAAAAACTTTCCTCAAAGTTCAAGGAGTCAATAAAAAAACTCGAATTGGTCCAGCCTTCATCGAGTTTTGCAAAACAAAAATATGCCATTTATTTTTATTTATATGAATGAAATAGTGAAGAATTTATTATTTGAGCATTAATGTTACATTTATAAAATCATCAGCTCTAACTCGGTCTGTCAATGTCACTTTTGACACGCGGAAGCCACAGTCTCGACTGAATCTCACGAACTAAACAGATACACGAATATTCATTTGTATGGTAAATCTATGCGATATTAATTTATAGTTAAGAGTTATAGGTATTCAATTCGACGCTAGTTTAGTATTACGCCGCTAACTCAACGGGATGCCATGGCGACGTCGATGGCTACGTATCCAAACAGTTTGTATTGGCGAAGGTTCCAGAAAGGAAAACAATAAAAAAAGGTTTTTGAGGCTTTGGTCCTGGCTGTGCTTCCAAATTGGCGACGTTGTGAGCCATTACATTTCAATAGAAATTGTTTGGACACGTAGCCATCGACGCCGCCATGGTATCCCGGTGAGTTAGCGGCCTTAGTGTTAACTTTTTATTTAAATTTCTCATGTAATTTCATTAATGCTCCCACGGGAGACTAGTCATAATTTGTTATTGCAATAATTTATGTGAATATCCCTAATGTATACGATGCTTCTGGATTTAATGGTACAAAATTGTTGAAGTCCACATGAGTCTATTTTCATAAGACAATAACAATATTTTTGCACCTAGATAAGCACTAGATAGAATAAGAAATTTTTTACGAATCAATTTCTTCCATTTGACATTTTTAATACCGACACGAGCTTGTAGTGCTGTTTTGAATCATTCATCCAACGATCAGCGATGTCCGGCCGTAGACTAACGTACACTCATTCGGTGTTGAGGGCTGTCACGTTTGACAGTTGACAGTTCTCAAGACGACTTGAGGTATGTTTAAATCGGCTGAGGGTCACAAATATTTCGAAATAATCCGTGTGAAACTTGTGTGGTAAATGTAATGTTTTGTTTGGTTCAAAACAGCAACCTCACAGTAATATGCGTGAGTAAATTTTGTGCCAATAATCGAATTTGTCTTAATAAACATTTTGATATCTTACACTTTGTTTGATTATAACCCCTTCAAAATATAATATAACATAACATTACTTAAACAGAACTCTCTGCCCGTGTTGTCGCGCGGGATTTAAATCAACTTTTGAACCAAGAATTCATTTGTTAATTACCACTTCAGCGTCATTTGGTCTCCAAGATGACTAGTGAGTTCTTGGGAATCTGAGGATTCGAATATCTTAGCTAGAACTCAGTAAAATTCATACTATTCACATCACTCACTTAAAGTCTTAATACGCTTTCAAAACAAGAGACTCAAGTGTATATTATAGATCATGCACTACTAAACTTGCATTGCCTTGACGCTTACCACAGCATTGCGTAGGTAGTAGGAACTTTACCTAAAATTCACGCTTAAAGCCGGTTATTGAAATACATAAAAGATTATATGAAAAATGATGGACGCGTGCCATTAGCAAAAATTTCTATCATTTCCTGTTAAATTTGCGCTAGAAATTGTTTACTAGAAACGTGTATAAAAATAAAAAGAAGTGAAACATAATTTTCGTAAAACCATTGATTCACATTTGCGCGGCAATATCGCATTGTCAGCTGTCTTGGACTGTCAGTCATATCATTTGTGTTATATTCGATTCTGTTTATTACGTTCAGAAATGAACATATTTTTATGATATAATTTAGATAGTCGTAAGGGCCTGTTTAATTATTTACATTGTATTGATACAGTCTCACTTTGTGTACTTGGTATTTATGTGTAGTTTTTCAAAAATGTCTGACGAGACGAATTAATAATTTCAAAACAAAAAAAATACTAAACTGCTCTCTGATCTGTTACTTTGATTGGTATCATCGTTTCATTTAAACAAAGAGCATGCTCCATCAGAAAAATACTGGTGAAGTGTACCGTCAACCAGTCCCTAAGGGTAAAAAATTATATATTGAATATATGGAATGTCATACTTAGCCTTAAGTGTCGACCCTCAGGGTAAGTATGTATGACAGCGAAACTTAGCGCTAAGTCTGTGCTACTAACTATACGTCAAAAATGTATTGGATTTTGACATACAGGAGATATAGTTCGGGCTAAGTCTCATTCAGGTTATATTCTATTTCGAAGTCACAATCTCGATTTGAGCGCTGTCAAATATGTCAAATTTAATACAGAGAAGTAGTCTGACAGCTCTGAAACTACATTAGAATAACGTCAATCCCGTTTTAGATTACGTGTAATCTTACCCTAAGTTTTGTCGATAGTCTAATATCCAATTTTACAAAATTCTTACTTATACAGTGAATTAAGCGTCTCAATTATAGCGTTAAACATCGAAAAAGTCCAGGTTCGAGAGGTCCCATTAGTAGTTGTAGTTTCCCAGAGGTAATTCGTTAAGAAATGTCGGGACCTTATTGCGATTCTGTCTCATTTATTCAGGTCCCATATGAGTTATAGCGTTATTATTTATAGTTACATATTTTCAGTGTGCTCGAAGTGTGTCAGCAGTTCCTCCAGTGAAGGTGCCCGTAAGAGCATCGGTGACACCGCACAAGCGTCGTTACACTTACTACAATAGAATGTTCAAGCCAATCGCCTACCATCTTCCCAAACCGCTTACAATATCTCTTGTTTAATAGCATGAACTGAATTAAGACAGCTTCTGCTAAAATATCAACATTATTGTTGGATCTGCATTGGCATGAATAAAATAAATGAAAAATGAACATTGCTTTTTATTCTATATTTTTATCTATGTCTAATTGACGTAGGCTTCTGTCACCAAAGTTCTCTTGTCTATGCCTCAGTAATGACAATAAGAAAGACATTAATTTTAAAGGTTAAATATATAGACACGTTTTTATAGCCCTAAATGTATATTGTATGGAAGATGATTGACTAAATCAATATAAATAATCAAATTCACCTCCCACAATGTAATTTTGCCGGCGATAAATTTTCATTCCCCTTATAATTTTCTTGCGTATATCACTATTACCTTGAATATCATCTCATGGGATCTTATTGTATCGAAAATGAGTCAGGCACAGCTCGAAAAAAAACTTTGTTACACAAAAAAGGATCTATACTCTATGGTTAACAGAGAAGTGCTAGTGCCCTCAAATTAGGATTCCCGGTCTCGTGGGCAGTTAGTCCCTTCCATTTGACATATTAATAATTTTATACTTGACTTAATAAATTCTACATAACACTTACAATTTTGTTATTAAACTGTATACAAGAAGAATACTTTCAGTTTCAGCATAGGACAGGTTGAGATGTTGCTTGATTAGGGAATGTATAAAGTTTTGCATCGATACTGCAAGTTTTAAGAAAGTGGTTAAAGATAAAAGGGCCTGATCTTCTGATGGAGAGTTTGAGTTCCCCCGTATAAGATTTCGTGATTTAAACTACGTCTTGGCGTCAGGTTTTCGTGTGTCAGCTTTTTAAACACGTGTCTATGACATGCCGGTTACTTCTTTATATTATCCTTCGACATACGAGATGAATGTTAGTGCACAAAAATTCTACTGACGCACAATCGTGGTTCCACTTCCAGTTCCACAGACGCACTAACTGAGTTGACAGAAGCACAGAGACAGAGCCCAATACTGCACGAGTTTAGATTTAAGAATATTATCTAAGTTTCAATTCTCGTGATAAGGTAATTAAATCACTCATAAATTCACATTAAGAAAATTAATCGACACCTGATGAAAATTTTAGTACCGGAACTAAATTCGCTTTAATGAAGACAATTTCTATTTATAGGAATTAAAGTCTGAACAACTCGAAAACAGAGCAGATGATGGAAACTCTACATAGTAAGTAAAATTTTGTAACGAGTTCTTTTAAACAGTTGAAAGATGTCCTAATTCATGTTGACCAAAATGTATAATGATCTATTTAGGATTACAAGCGTGTTGCGTTTGCTAGTGTTTCGTGCATATTACCAACTAAAATTATTGATGAAATGTATTTATTTTCCAGTTTTAATATTAATCTTGTTTCATCAAGTAGTCCTTAATTCGTGTCGCGGTATCAGCGACTTCCCCGATTCTCAGGAGTCATGATGATGATGATCTAAAGTACGAAGACATCAGAAGTATACTACGAGTAGTCCCCAACACACACAACAGCTCCCGTCTGCTAGGGATTAAGAAGCATAACGCAGGTCCCATAGCTATAATTCTTGCCCCATCAAATATATCTGCTAAATTTCATCGTAACCAGAAAATACCCGGACTCGATAGAGATACAAAAAATGGAATATACGGAGATGGTTTCACAGGTACAGCTGAAAAAGCAGAATCTGAAATCACTGTTGATAAGGAAAAAGTGGAAGAAGCGGATCATAAAAGTTTAGAAAAATTTGTTATTAAACATAGAACAATCGATGAAAAGGTAAAATCACCAACTGTAAAGAGCCACAACTATACACATTTCATTGTTGATAAAAGTACATTCAAGATTGATAACGATGACTCATCCCGAGAAATATTAGGTGATTCAAATTCGGTGCCTGATAAAATTGAAAATAGTGTGGATGATAAAAATGAATTTAATAATGGTGTTTTAGACGACATCACGACCGATTATAATACACGCGAGGAACGTAAAGAGAAAGAGATATTAAATGATTTGAATAAGAATTCACCTAAGGTATCTGTGAATTATATTTTTGGAGAACAGCTTAATAAAGCACTGAAAGTGTTTTATCCTGATATAGAGTGTATTCGAACCGATGTCCGAAATTGCTCCTATAGGGTCATAAACCTACTGTTTAATTTTCAAAGATAGAAAATAGTTTCTTAAGTTTAATTTGATATTGGATCTTGAACTATTCGATTTTTTTTAAATTAATTATATTATAGTGCTACTAATCTTTATCATTGTTCCAAGATTTCTCCTATGCATATTTTTAGCTGACATAATTATTATCTACGCAAAAACAGATTTGGTCTACGATTCTATGGTCGGTCGATTCAGTTAGAATATAAACGAAACTTCTTTTTCGAAGTTATGACATCGACTTATCGAAGAAATTACATTTCTATTTATACTTTACTGTTAACTCATAACTGTATTTCATTAAATTTTTGAAATAAATATCAAGTTTCATGAATCTTAAAAGGTAAATCATCAATTACAATTTGTTTCTTCATACAATATTTATAGTAAAATTAAACATATTACGTTCATTCGTAAAGTTCTTGGTGCCGGGTTGAAAAATGTGGGTTTCAACTCATTGTAAATTGTTGTCAAACTTTTGTAGCGGGTCATTTCAAAACTATTGTAATACATATACTATAGGTATAGTAAAAACATATTGGCAAAGGAATCCTTATCGCTTTAACAACTTGAATAAATAATAATTCCAATATTTTATTCAGCAGCACAAGACTACATACAATTAAAAAAAAAAAAAAATTTCCTGTTTTGCCCCAAAAAGAATAAACACCCCCTTTTTTTAAATTTTTCCAACAAAAGTTGATTTTAATTTTTTTGCCATTCTTAATAATTTGTGTTTATTTTCGATTGTTTATTTGTAATTTAAAAAAATATGAAAAAAAAAATATATAGGTGTGTATTAAAAATAGCGATTATTTAATCAATTCGTGCACAAAAATATATTAATGAAAGCTGTGAGACAGGATGTTAACTAAAACAAAGTAATTTACTTAAAATTATCAAATTGCTATGCTATTTAAATCAAATAGGTAATTTAAATACCACACATTTTATTTGATGTAATGTTTAAGGAAAGTATATTTTCTTGTATTACCATTTAATTATTCAATAAATTGCATCAGCATTAATAATATTGTTTTATTTTAATACCATAAAGCTCTTTTAACAAATTTAAGTATAATATTTTTACTCTAGTTTTCGTCATATCGAGTAACTGATATAGGTACTTGTATAACTATTTTTCTAAAAATGTAAATCTGAATTTTAACATTTTCAGGCCGCCTATAGTAAATATAAGCTTTTATTGAAATTTGGTATATCCCAGTTTAATTTAACAAAATAACTATATACAATTTACAAGTGTGCTGTTCTAATTAATGTTGGCCTAGTGGTTTAATAGCGACTTTCAACAGTTTGTTGGTTTGAATCTTGACCAAGGCAGTTCTTATTCTGTTCACATTTATGAATATTGACACGCGTCAGGCACAAGCTTTTTAAGGCTGCATTACCACATAATCATTCACTGCTTGGCTTGTTTCAAGAAGAGAATTGATTTTAGTATAGACTACAAATTCGTGTTAAGAAAAAGTGTCAAGGTTGCAAGCTAATTAGTCCCATCAATAAATTGCCTTATAGGATCTTCATGGGCCTAGACAAATAAACTAACATACATATAAATATTTCAATGCTTAATTCTTCAATACTTTCAAGTGCATTATCTACTATATTGTAGTATGAAAATATAAGGCCAAAGTATTTGAGTATACACATGTATTTCCATATCTGAATCCTCTTATTCATTGGGGAAATCGTGATTTTTCCTTTACCCCATAGACTTGTATGTCGAAGACGACATACAAACCAGAGTTCAATAAAATTCTACAGATCGAAATTTCTCAACAGTTTTCATGAGATTGTTGTGGTGTTTTAACATATATATATATATATATATATAAATAATAAATTAAACACAGTCTTAGTTGGTTGGTCTTATATTATATACAGTCTACGCAATCGCGGGCTGCGCAGCGGGTAATGTGGGCGGTACAGCGGTTGGAAGAGCTGTAGGGGCCAATGACCGCACATCAGAACTAGGCTCTGTTGGAATTGGCTCATCCTTGGGCTCAGTCACAAGAATGTGATCTGGCTGAGGCTTCTTGGGTCCATTCTTGCCCTGTTGGTCCCATGGCAACATAATCTTCACCTGGAATGTTTATATTGATTTATATCATAGTTGTTAATACTCCAAATTTCCAGTAATTTGTCTTGTCTTCTTATACAGGAAAAGAGTTATTTATATTTTAAATAAAAGGAAGGAAGGAAAGGTTTAAATAAATAATATCTTTTCAACTAATTAAGAAAAGGTATATAGTTAATTACATTTGTAGGGTTTGCACCGTACCAGAGCTCACACAGATGAACCCTCCAATAAAACAAACTCTATTAATATTCCACAATTAATTAGAGCACAGCTCATGGGAACTGCACTCCCTGAAATCGTGGATAACCTAAATGACTTATACTGGTTTACTGTAAGTAATACCTGAGAACAGCACTTAGTAAAGTCTCCTAGCCATGTCTTTTGCGAACATGATAAATTCAAATACATACAATCATATATATTTTCAGTTTTAAGCAATAGAACATGCGACAAGGTAAGTGACAACATGTAACAATTTTGTTGAGGTTACAATAAATCTTTGCAAAGTACAGAAAGCAGGTGAAGCTTAGTTTTAGAATACATTACAAAATAAAGACCTATTGCAAAATATTTATAACTCAAATATCATTTTTCAAGTATAATTTGGTAATATATATTGAGGTTAGTTAATAATTAAAAGTCTATGTTATTTATGATTTTTTTAAATTAACAGCCTATTATGTCTGCTGTAACAACGTCTATTATAAATACTCTATCACCTTTATTACAAATAAAAAACAATATAGTAGTAGATTCTATATATCTTTTTTGTAAAATTTAAAAATGTCTTATATTTTATCAGTTCATGTGTACTTTTTGTTCAATTAAATTGACTAAGAAGGAGATTCATACAATATTAACCATAGTATTCATTAAGTTAGATGGGATTATTAAATAGATTTAATAGATGATTTATATATTAAAACAATTAAATTACCTTGATACCAAGCACTCCTTGTCTAAGAAGTACGTGTCTGGTGGCAGTATTGACATAGTCATTGCAGGGGTCTCCTGAGTGAATCATGAGCCCATCAACAAACTTCATGGATTTAGCTCTCTGTCCTCGCAACTTTCCTGATACTACAACTTCACACCCACGAGCACCAGATTCCATGATGAACCTCAGAACACCGTAGCATGCACGTCTAACAGCCAAACCTGAAAGTCATTAAAGATTGTTGGAAAATAAATACTTACACAACACTACAGTAGAACTTTAATAATCAGTACAACCATATATGTAAATAAAGATAGGATATGTGTAGGATGTCTCTATAGTTTATGGACAGGATGTCAAATTTCAAGTTCGCACTACACACATTTCTAGAATGCACACTGCACTGAGAAGTTGCAAGTATAGCAACAGATGGTTGCATCAAGTTGATATAGCAATCAAAATTTAAATTTTATTTAATTGCAATATAGGAAAAATGTAAAAGAGGCTCTTATGAAAGAAAGAAAATTAGTTGATTATTGAACCTTGACAGAAATAAGTATATGATAACCATACATCATTTGGTTTACAAGAATGAAATTTGAATAGAATCTTACAATGAATTGAAAAGTAATGCACTAAGATACGCACCTCCGATAAGTTTGTATCTGAGAGATTCAGCCTGAGCGATGGCGCAAAGACCACGAGTGGCAACCTTCTCTGCGTAGAGCTCAACAGACTGTTCAGGGATGTTGAATCTCTTCTGCACAACTGATGTTAGTTCCCGGATGCGACGTCCTTTCTCTCCTAACACGCTCTGGGTGCGGGTGGCCATGATGATGATCTCCGACCGTGTCGGAGTCACGCGTACTTCCACACCTGAGTAACCATCTTCCGCGAGTTCCCGAGTAAGAAACTCATTTAACTCGGCTTTAAATACTCCGTCTCCGACGAACTGAAAAGTTTTAAGAGGTTATGTTTTGATTTCGACATTTAAAAGACGAATATTGAAATGAAATGACACGTCTTCGAGTACATGTAATTCCAAGATGTAGATTCTGGGCAGCTGTAAGCAACCCGAACATTATATTATGCACACTAAGAAATATCATAAAACACAATTGAGTACTCAAAAACACATCCACTAACATCACAGTTTGTAGTAATAAATTAAGTTGAATATATATTTTCACATATTTAGTTAAATTACTAAAACGTAATTGCAACGATATTTTACAATTTTATTAAGTAAAACTCAACATACTTTTCGCTTTTTAGAAATATTGTTCACCGCCATGATTGCAAAGAGCGGAGCTAAACTTGAAAAGAAATTAACGTCAAGGTCGAATTGACATTTGGCAAATTTTGACACTTATACGTAACCAACGCTTCTATATGTCGGTTGTCAATTTATAGATTTGCATAGATAAATTCAACGGTATACAGATAACTTTCATAATATTAAAAAGCCGATGTGGCTTGTTTAGACAATATTTAATATTTTATTTGCGGATCGTTGCGTTGATCAATTCATGAAATGTTTCTTTTCAAGTATGGTGTATATTCACTAGAGTCTGGCTAATGAAAGTTGATACTGAAAAAGAGCGGCAAATTTAAAAAATATCAGCATGGCAGCCCTAAAGTAAAAAGTAAAGTTGGAACAACTAAATTTGATACATTCATTTTTGGCTAATAATCTCAAGACTATCTGTAAAAGAACAATAAAATTATCTAAAACTAATATTATGTACTTATTTAAAATAAAAAAAATATCAAGACATTTTAACCGTACTAACTTTAGTGTTGTCATATAAAAAGTTTGCAAAAAAATCCAGTATCTACTTTCGTTAGCCAGACTCTATGTCGTAAGATGTTAAATAAAAATCAAAGATAAAAATAAAAAATACAAAGAAACGTGCTTAAATAGCGTACGTTAAAGACGCAATATTAGGCATGTTGTAGAATTTAAATTTT